TTACAGCATTGACTTTGCGATAATCTGTACTGAATCTAGTACTTCCATCAGGTTTTGGAACTAGAACACAGGGTGAACTCCAATCGGAGTTAGAGGGTCTGATAATATCATGTTATAACATGTACTCAACCTCTTTCTCAGCAATCTTTCTCTTTTCAGGATTCATCCGGTACGGATGCTGTTTTATTGGTTTGGCATCACCAACATCTACATCATGAGAGGCTATAGAAACTCTCTTTGGAACATCAGGAAATAGATCTTTATATTTCTTGATCAACCTCTCAAACTGATCTTTCTGTGAGGGTTCTAAGTGCTGGAGGTTTACATCAAGATTTTGCAACACTTCAGAATTTGACAATTTACATGAAAGAACTTAAGCTTTAATTCTAGGTTCATCATCTTGAAACTCCCCCTCATCTTCACAAGTCTCGGCCATAGGAGGATCTGAAGTGACAGCTGCAACTCTAGCATTCCTATCACGATAAGGCTTCAGCATGTTAATGTGACACAACTGTTTTGGCTTTCTCCTATCTGGAGTCTTCACAATGTAATTGAGATCATTGAGTTTTGTCAGAATTTCATAAGGACCATGAAATTTGGCCTGCAATGGATGGGACTGCAAGGGAAACAACACAAGGACCTTGTCTCCTGGTTTAAACTCACGGCTTCTACCTTATGATCATACCAAGTTTTCATTTTTCCCTGACTTGATTTCAAGTTCTCTTTGGCTAGGTCACAAGCTGCACGCAGTCTTTCCTTGAACTTGCTAACATAGTCTAACAGACTGATATGCGGCTCTTTCTCTTGCCATTGTTCACTCAACAATAGCAAAGGTCCTCTCACTTCATGGCCAAACACTAGCTCAAACGGACTGAATCCAGTAGACTCCTGCACTGCTTCTCTAGCTGCAAACAACAGCAAATGAACACCTTCATCCCAGTCTTTCTCATGGTCATAACAATAAGTCCTCATCATTGTCTTGAGAGTGGAATGAAACTGCTCTAAGGCACCCTGACTCTCTGGATGATAGGCACTGGAAAGAATCTGCTTCGCACCTAGTTCATACACAACCTGCTGAAACAATCCGGATGTGAAATTGCTACCTTGATCTGACTGAATTTCCCTGGGAAGGCCAAACAACGTGAAGAACGTTATCAAAGCCTTCGAGATTGCAGTTGCCTTGATGTTGCATAGAGGTATGGCTTCAGGGAATCTGGTAGATGCACACATGATTGTCAACAAGTACTGATTTCCAGATCTAGTCTTGGGTAATGGACCAACACAATCAACGATGACCTTGGAGAAGGGCTCCCCAAATGCTGGGATAGGCTGCAATGGAGCTACAGTTGGGTCTAACTGGTGTTTTCCAACTACCTGACAAGTGTGACAGGTTTTGCAAAAGTTGGAAACATCTTTCCGAAGTCCAGGCCAGAAGAAGTGTTTCATGATATTGTCAACAGTCTTGTTAACACCAAGATGACCTCCTAAAGGCAAACTATGAGCCATTGTTAAGATCTCATTCCTGTAGACCTTCGGAACAACAATTTGCTTGACTACTGCCCAATCTGCATTGGCAGGGATATCAGGAGGGCGCCACTTCCGCATCAACACTCCATCCTTGAGATAATACCCAACTGGAACTGCATCTATTTCTTCATCAGTAAGGGCTCTCTTCTTTAGTACACAAATTTCAGGATCATTGGTTTGCTCCTGAATCAACCGCTTTCTGAACAGAGACAAGTCTCCAGACACATCAGAATCACCAGACCCATCTGGCTGGCTGAATAGAGAACTGATAAAAGTGTCTGATAAGTCCTCAAACGGAGAAACCATAGTAGGCTGAACAGAGTCATGAGGCGAACCACCTGAGTCATGACTATTCAATGTGCTGGACGGCACCACATCATCTTCTTCTTGAGCCTTCTTGGCCATAGCACGAGTCACTGCACAGGAAGGATACAGAGATGGGTCTTCATCGCCATCTTCAGTGCTCGGCTGTGAAGTAAGATGAACAGGGGAACTACATTGCCCCCAGCCAAGTCATTGCCTAGCAACAGAGAAACACCCTTGATAGGTAGACTTGACATAAGTCCCACCTTTACCTGTCCTGTAACTAAATCTGACTTCAAGAATACAGAGCGCAGGGGTACAGATACAGTCCTCCCTTCAATACCTTGTACAAGTATGAAATCCCCAGAAGCGGTCTCATCACGTAACTCCAAGGAGTCCATCAACAAAAGTGACTGAGAAGCTCCGGTATCCCTTAGGATATATATGGGGACAGGAGGAGAATGCTCATTCAGAGCCACAAATCCCTCTGACACAAATGGAAGAAATTCCTCCCTCACAAAGTCAGCAGTATCAGGCTTCTTAGCCTCACAAGGAGCAGGCAATTTAGCAGATCGGTCATCTACTACAGGGGTTTCTAACCTTATCTTCACAAAGGCATTGGGTTTGATATCCTTTTCTTTTTCTTTCTTAGCTTTAAGGAACCAACAGTTAGTTGTAACAAGACCAGATTTCTTGCAATAATTGCAAACTAGACCACTTTTGTCACTGTCAGCTTTCACACTTTGATCAGACCTTTTACTGGATTTCTGAGCACCATCACTAGATTTGTCTTTGTCTTTGGGTGAGGAATCTTGGGTATCACCGTTACCTTTCTTCTGAAATTTCGACCATCTTTTGTTACTGCTAGACTGAAATTTGGACTTATGTGTGAGAACATATACGTCTGCAAACTTGGCAGCTGATTGCAAATTCAGTGCTTGCTTCTCATTAAGGTAGGTCTTAATATCATCCTTGACACAGTTCTTGAATTCTTCAACTAACACCATCTCTTTTAGTGAGTTGAAATCATCCTTGACCTCCATAGAAGTACACCAGCGCTCAAAGCAAACCTTCTTCTCGTTAGCAAATTCCACATAAGTCTGATTGTCAGATTTCTTCAGACCTCTGAATTTCTGTTGGTAAGCCTCTGGAACCAACTCATAAGCTGTCAAAATAACCTTTTTGACAACCTCATAATCAGAGGAATCATCTGCAGACAAAGCCGAATAGGCTTGTTGAGCTTTACCCTTGAGGACAGTTTGCAACATCAGAGGCCAGTGTTCGTTTGGCCACTGACAACTCTGAGCTCCCTTCTCGAAGCACTGGAAATACTTATCAACCTCCTTCTCCGAGAATGGAGGCACCAGCTTTACCTCCTGGCCAGCACGAAATTTGTTTTCAGCTTCCATTTTAATTTTTAGTTGCTCCATTTGGAGCCTTTCTTATCTGTCTAATTTTTCTAAATCGAAATCTCTCTGTCTCTGTCTCTCTCTTTCTGCTCTTTCCACTTTCTCTCTCTCAAACTGCCTTTCTTTCTCTCTTTCTGCTCTCTCAAACTCTCTTTGTTTTTCTTTTTTTCTCTTCCTGCTCTCTCGAATGCTCTTTCCTCTCTTTCAATCTCTAGCATTTTTAATTTAAGTTCCATTTCTACATTTGGATTTTCCACTGGAAACTGTTCCAGATCTCCTGGTGCAAACACATTTTCATCAATGTAATATTCAACAATCTCTCTAGCCAGTCTTGCTTTTCGCATGGCTGGTTTTACATCTGTCAGCTCTAACTGTCTGCATATTTCTAGCAGTTCTGTCTTTTTAAAAGACTTCAAAACCTCTACGGTTGGTGATGCCAAGAAATCATCCATTGCTGTTGATCTGTCAATATAGATCTAGGAAAATTCAAAAAACACTTTCACAATTTGAAATTTTAGATTTTCAATAAATGACTCGCACAATGGTCTATCCCAGATGAGCCCACACTTTGTTATGGCCCCAATTTGTTATGGCGTCAATTTGTTATGACGTCACGGACAGCAAGGAATGACAGACAAAATTCTTAAACTTCAACAGATTTAATTAAACAAACACTTAGAACTAATCTACAATCTACCCTACTGACCAAGATTGAAATAAAAAAAAGAGATATGTACAGTCCCTTGGTAATTGAGATGGGCTGCTGTGTTGCGATGTCCTGGGACAGGAAAATGCTCCAACACAGGCAAAAATCCACAAAAAGCTTCACAGGTCTTGAAAAGAGTGACAGGTCTGGTCAAATGTATCCTCCCACAATTTCTCCTTGCAATTTCTCCTACTACTTTTCACTCTCTCAATTTTTCTCCTTGTATACTCTTTTCCAGCCCCCTCTGAGGCATGCCCAGGACATGCCCCAAACCTAGCTCCAGTCCGAGCTTAACAAAAAAAATGTCAATACTGCCATCTAGTGGCTTTTTTTTTTTTTTTTTTTTCCACATTACTGCTGATTGACCAGAATCCATATCTCAAACCTTTGGCCAACATTGAACACCTTTCAACCCTAAACTCCTTCACCCTAACTCTAGCCCAGGGGTATGCAAACTTATCCAGAATGAGTGACTGTGGGTGCAGTCTTTCATTCAGATCATGCAGTTACACATTTTCTTCCTCTAATCATCTCCTGGAGTATTTGCTAAAGACGCGGATTAGTCAAGTCAGGTGTGTAACTGCATGATTGGGATGAAATCCTGCACCCACAGCAGCTCATTCTGGATAGAGCGAGTACCCCTGCTTGATAGAGCGAGTACACGTGCCATAAGCGTAACCCTCTTGAACCTGACCCTACCAAAACCCTAAACATAACTCCAAACTTTAGTCGCAATCCCATCAACTCCTTACTCGAACCCGATTACCTGTAACCCTAACATTCCATAACCCTGGCCCAAAGCATAATGTTGTTGGTTCACAAAATATTCTCCTCTTGTTATTATCTCAAAATAAAATGAGTAGAAGGCGATCTTGTAGGCCTCAATAATCCCACTCCCTTTGCAATAACTTTGTCGCGAAGACAGCTCATTCACTGACAAGGACGGTTTCTTAAAGGGACTTGATTCGCATTGCTTGGTATGTCACACTTAGAAAGAAGCACATAATGTACAAGCTTGCTGGTGTGACAGCCTCTGCTCAAAATCAGCATTCTACTGACCCCGACATGATTTGAACACGCAATTTTCCGATCTGGAGTCAAACGCTCTACCGTCACGCCACGAGGTCCTTCATCTCAATTTATCTGTGGCTGCCTGTAGCATTTCACAGCATTTTTATGATTGACGCGAAATTTAATGGGGAATATCACAAATTACAACGATTAAAAAATCTTCTGTTTTGCTGTTTAACCAAAATGCCAATCCCGCGGGTTATAAAGGCTTTCGAAGCCTGGATGGCACCCCCCGCCACCCGTGAGCCGAGCTCAATCTTGGTAGTGACAGCCAATCAGTTCTTGGATCACTACCAAGATTCTACCAAGAATTTGAGAACGAGGCCAATCAGCGCTCAAAATGCTACCAAGAATTTACCAAGAATTGTTTGCTGCGGCCAATCAAGAACTGGAGGCTGCGGCCAATCACCGCTCGTATGGATACCAAGATTTGACTCAGAAACTACCAAGAAATGACCAATAGCGGGACGCTGTGATTGCCGGCGCGTAGTTTATTTCTTCACGCCTTCACAGAATTTAAAAAAGTAAGTAACTCCTTCCTTTGATCGCTGTTGTCGGTCCAAATACATGGACGAATGTATGTATTTTCGTGAACTACGCGAATGGCAGTAAGAATGTGGCTTAATATTCTTAATCGCGAGCGTGTAAGCTACCTGTCCCGTTATAGCTACAGTCATTTTACTGTAAGTTACCTGGCCAGCTCGCGTTTTAGAGATTTTTGAGGCTTTCTGTTAATGTTGCGTGGATGTCAACGCAATTTAACGCGAACCATTCTGACAAAATAACCTGCCTGTCGATAACTTTGGCCAGCTAAGTCATTAAATGAACCAAGTTCCATGCAGGTGTCCAGTAAAGTACAGTGCGGTAAAAGTCACCACTTACTTTTGCTAGTTTGTTTCATTTGATCTCATCTTGTTGTTACATAAGTGTATGAATTAATAAATAGCTATGCTAAGATAGCAGACAAAAATTAGCTTTTAAAAGAAGGTGGCTGTTCAAATTCAGGTCCCCCTCCCCTTATCTACTATAAAAGTTACCCCTGACTGACTCACTTGAAAAATCCTCTTTGACTCTGGTGGGACAAATGTTGTGCAATGGTATAGCTGATATCTACTGTAAAATGTGTCAATGCATTATGCCTTTATACCAATATACTTTGTACTTACTGAACATAGTGTCCATGCAATACCATAGCATGTGTCGTACTTTTGTACCTTACTCTATTTTATACTTAATACTTGTGATAGCATGCATTACTCCCTTATAATGCTTTACTTCTGACTCATAGTGATTCTGGGATGTTTTGACATTTTGAGGCTGTTGCAAAAATACACATAGACAGAGCATGTTATAAAATCAACATGACAGGATGAGCATGACTGAATATATGTATTATACTATATATAGTACACCAAGCTGCCTTTATGTCTGACTATGCAGCTTCAAAGGCAAGGGAATACCACCTTCTTATAATCTGGTAAAGACTGATGAATATCATTCCCTTCACAGAAGAATAGAACTTAAATGCCTCAGGAGTTTAGGACAACTCTTTTACTCCATAATAATCCAAAATATATGTGCATTTTGCAACATTTTCAATGATTTGGTGTGCATTTGACATGAAAACACAGATTCAAGACAAGTATTCAAAAGTGCCACATTAATTCTGTGGGTTATTAGACTTGGCACAAACCTGATGGGGTTTATTCTTCCTCAGCCTCATCCTTAATGTCAGGGAACAGAGTGGGATTCCCTTCCATTTGAAACAGCATAAAATGGCTTAAATATTGTGCTATCAAATATTTTGCCAAGCTAATCATTAACAGCCACGTTACAGTATTTACATCTGTTTTTTTCTGTTTTCTTTACATGTTCATTTTTTTATCTACTTTGCAGGCACACTGGCGAGTGAGACCTTCTTTCAGGTGTATCTTGTGGATGGGCTCGCCAGGTGGAATGAGGACTGGGCTGTGGCAGCCACAACTGACGAGCAGCAGCCACACTCCAATAATCATCTGCTCCGTCACGCTGCTAATACTCTCGCCGAGGAGGTTCTGGGCAAGAAAATCATCCCTTACTTTGGGCCTCGAGAATACACTGGTAGATAACTACTATATTTGATTTTTTTTGTGTGACAGTTTCATTCAAGTTTAAAAATACCATTTGACAACCGAGTCATTAAATAATGTTTTTATATTTAAAAGGTGGGCTTATTGGAGCGCAACACCTTTACCAGCAAACCAGTAAAGTGCTGCAGGACTACAAGCTGGCCATTGAAGAGTCGGAGACCACTGATGTGGATGTGGAGGCAGACGAAGGTTTTGCTGAAATTGAGGAGTTTCAGGACATCACTGTCCCCTCCTTCGACACAGAGCGAGCACCTGCTGCTTCCCCACAGGCATCAGCATCAGCAGGGACTGCGGTCTCATCTCCGACTCCTCCGGCACCCAGCACCCTGTCGCCTCCGTTTGTGTTCCCTACAACATCAGTGATGTTTTCTGCACCCAGCACCCTGTCACCACTGTCTGGCAGGCGGTGGCGGAGTATGACAAAAGGAAGGCCGTCAACCCTCCATGCCACCAAACCGCCCTGTCAAAGGACGATTCAGGGCCACTAAGAAGATTGTGGCACCAGGTGTGCAGAGCACTAGAAGGTATGTTAATTCAAGAAAACACGCAAGCTATCATCTCCAGCTTTATTATTAGTTCATTTAAGTTTATTTAGAGATCCTCATTAGCTGACAAATTGACCGCTGGCTTATCTTCCTTGTGCTAAAAACATGCATTACAGAAGACACACGCAGTAGTAATTAAAACAATAACAAACAAAAGCATTCATTAAAGAAAGACAACTATGCAGATATTAAAGTGAACGTCCACACAACACAAAACATAAAAGACATAAGGAAAAAACAAAAGAGAAAAAATCAAAAAAGGAAAATAAAAATAACATGGAGACTGGAGATCACATATTGCAAACAATCTTGTTTTAATAATATGTATTCTTTTGTCATTTGCAGGTGTTTCTTTGGGGCTCACAGCTCTGCTCAGTGGCCTGACTGCAACAGGGTGGTGGAGGCCATCTTCACAAGGCTCTGTACCCTCTACCCAAACACTGTGCGCTGTGGAGGCGTTAGGGTGTCACGCTCCGCGATGGTCACCCGCGCGTATAAGCACATCCGGGAGCACATCATCACCAGCGCTGGGGTGATGAGTGAGACCACCGTCCAGCTCCCGGAGGTGAATGCTGCCACAGTCACACAGCGGTGAGTACATTAGCATGCTTCATATCTTCATACACACTCAGTGCCCACTTTATTAGGTCACCTGCGCAATCTAATGCAGTTCAATACAACAGCTCTGCCATAAATTCTACCTTTTCAGGAAGTTTGTAATGTTAAGTTTTGTTGACGTTGTCGAGAATGTGTTAATTTAATTCTGTGTTTCTATTTTTGTCCATTCTATTTATGTTCATGGGGGGCAAAATAGTCGAAACACCTCGTAATAAAATTCAGTCCAGTACAACAGCACCACTGACTATGGGCTCAATACCAAACATATACAACCCCAATTCTGAAATAGTTGGGATGAAGTGTAAATTGTGAATAAAATCAAAAAGCAATGACTTTCAAATCACACCAGCCAGTATTTTATTCACAACATAACAGAGATAACATAGCAAATGTTGAAACTGAGATTTTTACAATTTTATCCATTTCAAATTTGATGGCTGCTGCAGTTCTCAAAAAAGTTGGGAGAGGGGCCTGTTTACCATGGTGTAGCATCCCCTCTTCTTTTTAACACAGAGTGGAGGCGTCTGGGCATTGAGGAGACAAGTTTCTTGAGTTTAGCCATTGGAATTTGATCTCACTCTTGTTTAATACAGGCTTCCAGCTGCTGGAGAATTTTGGGTCTCCTCTGACGGACTTTTCTTTTAATTATGCGCCAAATGTTCTCAATCGGTGAAAGATCAGGACTGCAGGCAGGCCAGTTCAGCACACTGACTCTCCTACTACGAAGTCATGCTGTTGTAATAGCTGCAGTATGTGGTTTTGCATTGTCTTGCTGAAATACACAAAGCCTTCCCTGGAATAGATGTCGTCTGGAGGGGAGCATATGTTGCTCTAAAACCTTAATATACCTTTCAGCAGTCATGTTGCTTTTTAAAACATGCAAGTGTCCCACACCATATGCACTAATGCATCCCCATACCATCAGAGATGCTGGCTTTGAACGGAACGCTGATAACAGGAGGGGTGGTCCTTCTCCTCTTTAGCCCGGAGGACACGACACCCATGATTTCCAACAAGAATGTCAAATTTTGACTCGTCTGACCACAGGACACTTTGCCTCTTCACTACAGTCCATTTTAAATGAGCCTTGGCCCACAGAACACGGCGGCACTTCTGGATCATGCTCAACAATGGCTTTCTTTTTGCATGCTAAAGTTTTAGGTGGCATCTGTGGATGGCACAGCGGTCCGTGTTTACAGACAGTGGTTTCTTGAAGTATTCCTGGGCCCATTTAGTAATGTCAATCACAGAATCATGCCAGTGAGTGATGCAGTAGCGTCTGAGGGCCCGAAGGTCACGGGCATCCAGTAAAGGTCTTCGGCCTTGTCCCTTACACGCAGAGATTTTTCCAGTTTCTCAGAATCTTTTGATGATGTTATGCACTGTCGATGATGAGACCTTCAATGCCTTTGCAATTTTATATTGAGGAACATTGTTTTTAAAGTATTCCACAAATTTTTTACGCGAGCCTTTACAGGTTGGAGAGCCTGTGGCCATCTTTACTTCTAAGAGACTCAGCCTCTCTAAGACATCCCTTTTATAGCCAATCATGTTACACACCTGATGCCAGGTAACTTAATTACTTGATAAATGTTCTTTCAGCTGATTCTCTTGTATATTAATTGCTTTTTCAGCCCTTTTTTGCCTGTGTCCCAACTTTTTTGAGACCTGTTGCAGCCAGAAAATTTGAAATAAGCTCATTTTGTGGAGAAAAATGTAAAATGTCTCAGTTTCAACATTTGAAATGTTATCTATGTTCTATTT